ATCCTCAAATGTGTATATGTGTTGGGGTTGCACAATGGCAGGCACTTGGTTGCTACATTGGTAAGAATTAATATTAAGTCAAAATAAAATTAAACAAAAAAATCAGTAGTCCTTTGCCATGCCTTACAAAAAAAGAAAAGAAAAGAAATATCTGAATATTGGAACTACTGCATATAATAATGAAAGTATCATTTTTTTTTTTTTTTTTTACTTTTTGAAAGACAGTGGAAACTAAATCAGTTCCCATTGTGTGACTCCAACATATTTCTTTTGTTTTTTACTTTAGATAAGACACAAAAAGTTTACTTATCCCTTCCATTCACTTGTAGGCTTGGCTTAAAATGGTTTTGAATCTGTTAACCAGGGAAAAGAACTGAACTATATACTTTCTTCCAGTCATGGGTGATATTGATTCCTGCATTATCAGGTTAGTGCACTGAAGAGAGAAAAAAAATCCTTGCTTTCTCTCTTTTGTACTTTTTAGTAAATAAAATATTTGAGAAAATAGAAAGTACATTACTGTCATTGCTAGTTAATACATCCTTTTGTATGATCTAAATTGTATATAGATATAGTGGCACACTTGTATTAGGTCTTCTTTACTTCTCCTCTCCATATCCAGTAGTGACATAGATATCAAGATAACTGCAGGTAGGACAAGATTCAGAGATTTCAGATTTTCGCAGTGAAATAATTCTGTCGGTTCTGTTTACTGCTATTCTGGTTATTAAAGCCATTAAGGCACCTCAAGATATACAAGACAAAAATAGTACTGAAAATCTATTATTATTACTATTACTACAGCAGGATTTATTTATGTATTTTCTAATAAGAAATGAAGGATTTTTCTTTCTGGCATATATTAAAAACTAAATCTAAAAGGTTAATAGTTCGTTAGACATTCAACTAAAAGCAAACAGAAATTCTTCAACATTTAGTGTGTTTGTTAGTTATTAGTCCTGTGATAGTTTTAGGTCAAAATATGTTTTGTAGTAATGAAAAAAAGAGCTCCACTTAATTCAAATAAATTCTTTACAACATATTTTTTTAACTTACTAAGATTGATAATTAAATTAATGGGTTTGTAATTGTAAAATATTTTGCTCATAAGGATTATATATAAAACATTGACAAAAAAAAGGCATTTTGCTAATAAACTAGTTGTTTTCCTATTGTAGTGACATATTAGATGAAGTTTAGTATTTATCTACCAGTATAGATATTATTCTTTGTTTAAAACAACACTGCATGTATACAAAGCTACAGATTGAAACCGTTAAAATAACTAGTTTTCTGTAACTATTTGACCAAACTTCATGAAACTAGTTTCATATCAGCCCATCATATACAGATTAGTTTAACTGTTTAATTAAAAGCTAACACTTCATAATTCCTAACCATGATGGACAATAATAGTCAGGGAAACATGGAAATATATATTATTTGTATAATGTTGCATGAAATTTGTTTTTAACATCAGTATCTGAATAATAGTCTTTATAATGCTTTTCAATGGGGATATATAATGTAATCAGAAAAATTGTAGGATTAATTTTTTTTTTAAATATTTTTAATACTATCAGAAAATTTATGTGAACTAAAAATATTATTTATATCTAACTGTATGAAATTCGGATTTGTTCTTAATTATTGTAGCATTTTTGAGGAAAATCATAAGTTACTTTTTTATAGAAATAAACAAGATATTAAAAATTTCCAGTGACTATATTTTACAACTAAAAGATAAAAATAAAATCTGATCAGAATATTTTGTATTTGTGTGGAAATCCAGAGTAAAAAGAATTCTATCAATCTATTTACGTTAGGTAAACAATAAAAGTTAGATGTGCTGTTATTACTGTCATTATAGTCATTGGTCACTGTTTTGGAAATAGTTGGATACTGAAGAATCAAAGAAGTACACAATATCACCAACAGAAAGTGATACAGTTTAGCCTCTTTATACAAACATTTCTCTCCAGAAGTCCATACCTGAAAACCAGATAATGTGAAAGAGAAAATTATTAAAATTATATAATTGCACATACAGAAAAGGAAATCTACTGTGGGTTAGTGTCTAGCAAGTTTAACAAAGTCACAATATTGACCTTGTGATAGACTGAGTTTCAACATTTTTCCTAAATATTTACTATCATTTGCTAATGTTTAAAGAAACATTGTTACCACATAATGATTGTTGTCATTTGGTGCCAGTACATAAAGTAAGTTAGTTCTTACCTCTTACTGCTATATATATATATATATATATATAATATATATATATATATATATTATTATTATTATTATTATTCAATAAAAAAATGTAATGTTTTCAACATACATTTTTTTTTTACATGACTTTAGTTTTTATTTTTTTTTGGTATCTCCCAATGTTATGTTTCATTGATTCTATCTAAATTATAGATAGAATCAATCTGTTAGGTTTATTTTAAGTGTTCTCTATTTCACATGCATATTGCATTTAAATCCCTACTGTTTATTATGTAAGTCTTTTACTGCTATGTTTTTTTGTTTTTTTTTATTTTTTGCATGCAAAGTGCAAAGATTTATACAAGTATAGGTTTTAAATATAGACCAATAAAAACAAGTTTTGGTGGATGGCTTTACAAACATAAGTGCATTAAAGAGACTAAAAAATAAGGAAAAGAAAGTCTAGCTGTGTTTTGAATTAATAATCTACTTTAAATGTATAATAAGATGAATCAGAAGCTTTTCATTTATGCCCACACAGCACCATCCCTTCTTTGTTAGCTGCACATATCTCAGGCTTTACATAACTTAGTCAAAAATAATATATCTAGCAGATATTCTATTCCTTTTGTTTTTATTTCATCTTTCTTTTTAATCATTGAGATAGATTCACCCAGTCATTTCCCATCTACCATTGATTAAAACAACATCAGAATTCACTAAGAACTTTTATAACTGCGATTTTGAAATTATTTATTTTTTTGTCATTTTTTTGTTGTTGATTTTTTAAAATTGTTTTTCTTATAAAGTTCATCATGAAAACAAAAAGAGCTGAACAGAAGGTCAGGCAATAATAGTAAATATGGCGAGAAGGACAGGCGTGATATTTTACATGGCAAAAAAGGAAATAAACAAAAAACAAAGAACTTTTTTTTTTTCTTGAAAGAAAATGGAATGAATATTTGTTCTTCTTAATTCAGACTGGACTAAAAGTGAGCAGTGTCCTATCTCCTCATACTTTTAGATATTTTGGGCTACACTGTCTGTAGTTATGTCTTATGCAATAGAAATACCAGATATGCAACAGTAGCAAAAAGATTAAAAACAAACAAACATAATAGAATCTGAAATAACAGCAAGGAGTTGGTTATTTTTTTCCAAAACATGTCCAACAGTTAAACTTGAACACCAGCAGTGACACATATAACAACGACTGATTGTTACAAGTCATCAACTCCAGAAACTTAAAAAAAATGAAATATACAGAAGAAACAAAATAAAAAAAACAAAAATATGTTAATGAAAAAGAATATTTTGTATCTGGCAAAGACATGCTTTGTGATGCATGTTACTATTTGTGTCAATGTCAGATACACACTGTTGCACATGTTATGCCAATGTTCATGAGGAGATAAATATTATTATTATTATTATTATTATTATTATTATTACACATGATACAGAGTATGTGCCTTTCAGAGACACATTGCACACTTTTATAGAGGGTGTGTCTTTCTTTTTGAACATTACCTTTTTTCATGATGGACAACACATTACATGCTTGTGTGTCCTGCTGAAGACATGTGATAAAGTTGAAAAACTGTAATTGTTAGAAGCCAAAAAAAATGACATCAAGAAAAACAGTCCTACTGAGATGATAAAATCTTTGAAGAAAGTTGTGTGTGTATGTGTGTGTGTGTGTGTGTGTGCACATATATTTTGTTTAAATATGTCCAGGCCCAGCATTCTCCTAATATTAGCAAATAAATCCAAATTCAAGCAGAAGATTTTGTCATTTTCTTTTAGGTGAGAAAATCAGTTCAGTAATTCCTTTTGAAAGCATTTTTCTTCTTTCCATGAAGTGAAATATTGTCCAATAAAAATACACAGAGAAAGACAAATTAAACTACTTATTTAAACCTAGGAGTTTGTTTCTTGCTGAATTCAAATGAATACTATTTTTTTTTGTTTTTTATTTTCATAATTCCAACCTTGTTTTGTATTTTATCCTGCTTATATTTTTCAAAAATGAAAGTGATAAGTTTCATTATTCAGAGTATAAAGGCTCTAAATGATTTACATTAAGTTTGAAAACACTCTTAAATTTGCTTTTGAAACAAAACACAACTAGTAAATACATATATACATGCTTATATGTATACATATACAAAATGCTTATATATATATATATATATATATATATATATATATATATATATATATATATGCATATTAAACAACCTAATGTATAAGTACATGCTTGTACATATATGTAATAATGCTAAATGAATACACACACACACACACACACACACATATATATATATATATATGCTTACTTTTACATACATATATGTGCATACACTCACACTATAATAATACTATATAGATAAACACGCATATGCATATTCATGTATCATTGTACTTACTCTGAATATTTGTCTAACTGTAAAAAAAATACGCTAGGTAATATAATTATTATTACCTTTCAACATAAGAGGATGGCAGGATAAAAAACTTGTATATAGGTTGGAAATAATCATCCATACTTTTTGGAATTTGTTAATGCATGTTTTAAAATTTAGAGAGCTGGGATATTTTTTCTTTTTTTACCTCAATAACAACTGTGGACTTGTCAACAAGTAACAAGGTTAAGACTGTACAAAAATAAACCCGCAGCAAGGTGGGTGAGAAGCCAACACAGCATAAGGTGTGGCTCATTTTAGGTAATAATCCAAGCTGTCATGGGTGAAGTGCGCCCATGTTTATAGCAGCCCTGGGCATGAGCCTCAAGGAATCAAGAGGCACAAGAGAGAAGCAGTCACTAAGAGCTGATACACAGACATTACAGACAATGAACACGTATCCCCACGTTGGGCTGAAGTTGAATCATAAGTTCCCTCAGGGTTTTGTGATGTTGAAAAGTCTGATTTTCTGGGACTGGTATCCAACACTGAAAAAAGATTTATCAGAAAAAATGTTGAAAAAATGTTTGCTTCAGTATGATAAAGTTAAGAAAAATATAAAAGGAAAAACTGGTAGGATTAAATATTTAAATTCAAAATTAGTTTAATTAATGGAATGTATTATTGATCACATATTAACCATCTGCAAATATCTGAAGGGAAAGTCAACTTATATATCTGTCTAAGTTCTCATCGGTAAACATGTTTATTAGTGAAATCTAGCTTTGATTGATTGTTTTCTTTTATTTATAGTGGCCAAATAATAATAATCAGCATAAAGTATGTTCAGTAGACAATATTTTTACTGGAAGAATGACTCAATCTCTGTAAGTTTCATTAAAGAATACAAAGGTAAGATGCAAAAATTCTGTTACATTCTATTAGATATATAACACTGTATAGCCTCTCACAAGTTTGGTTGTTGAGATTACTGGCAGCTCAGTAAGAGTATGTTGAATCCCCACCTATCTTCAATCAGTTTGAAGTAATTGTTATCTGCTGCTGATAAAGCAGAATGCTTTGCTCAAAATCTCGACTCATCATGAGTATCTTTGTCTGATTTCCCCCTGAGAGTAGAATCTCTACTAAGTGATATGCACATAACTCAGTCCATGGTTTCTGCTATCATTTCTAAACTAGATCCCCACAAGATATCCCTGCAATTGTCCTAAGGCAATGTGCTCTTGAACTGGCAGCTGTTCTTTCCAAACTCTATAACAAATGCCTTGCTGATTCTTGCTTGAAATCCACTTCTGTAGTTCCTGTCTCTAAGAATTCTGGTGAATATCCTATTAACCTTCTACCTCTCTAGCAGAGTTCTAGAGGCTCAAATCATCTTTCGATTTGGTTGTACCTCTCATTTCACATGACCTTCTTTCAGATAAACAATACAGCTTTCATTTCTCTTTGTCAACTGCTGATGTGTTGACAGTTATTATTGAATTTGTCTATCAAGCCTTATATAAGAATAGCAATGCTCAAACTTTAGATATCTCAAAAGCATTTGACAGGGTTGGCATGCTGACCCTTTTCACTAGCTCAAGAGTTATGCTGCTTCTAGCGAAATATTAGACTTAATTCAATCATACTTAAATTGCATAATAAATGTTATGTTGAATGGCCATGCACCCAGATCCTTTCACATTAATTCGGGGGGGGGCACCCAGAGCTCTATTCTTACACCTACATTGTTTCTTACCTTCATCAACAACCTCCCTGATGTCATCAGTTCTCAACTCCGTACTTATGCTGATGACAAATATTTATTCCTGTCTTTGTCAGTCCTATTGGACTTATTAAGTAAAACTGACAGTTGTTCTTGAAAACAACTTCTAGTCTGTTGTTAACTGGGGTAAGGAATGGCTTCTAAACTCCAAGAGAACAACTTATTGCACCCTCTTTGTATCATGTTTTCCACTGACATGGAGTGGACTGATTATATTGAATCAATTCCTAGGTCTGCTGCACAGAATGTTGGTTCACTGTTCATGCCAGAAAACTTTTTATAAATCTACCATTTATCTGTGCATTGAATATTGCTGCCATATCTGGTTTGATGCTCCTGCAATATATTTTGAGATTTTCAATAAAATCCAAAGAATGGTCTGTAATGTTACCGTTTCTGACCTGGCATCTCGACTTCAGTCACTTTCCCACTGCTGTGATGTGGCTTCCCTCTGTCTGTTCTATAGATATTTTTGTGGCAATTTTTCTAATGAGCTCTTCTCATCATTTTATTGTTGAAATAGCTTGATGTAAGTATAAGTTCTATTCTAATAGTTTCTTTTCTCGCACTTCTCACTTGTGGAACTCTCTTTTGGTTTTTTACTTTTATTCCAAATACATGTTGTTCATGCAAAAAAGATTTTTACCTTTTCATGAATTTAATGATAAAATGTATCATACAAGAAATCACCATAAAGATTATCCTGAAATATTTAATCCCCAATTACTTTAGGAATTTTTAATGCAAAAAAGTAACATCTGTAATTTATCTTTCAATTCATAATACCATTTTGAAGAGCCAATTTTTGGGTTTCTTCACAAATATTATTTAACAGTTTTTCATTGACAGCCATGTCAGATAAGTAAAAAGTTGTTAAAGTCATTTTAATTTTCTTACATTTCAGCAACATTTCACTAACAACAAATTTCACTGAACTAATCTTTCAATGGTAACTGAACTCCAAGAATAAGAAACAAAACAAATGACCTACTGTAAAAGTTCCCACAGGGACACTAATTAACTATGTAGTGAATGTATAAAAGTAAAAACAAAAGGGAACTCCTATCCAATATGCACTGTGGATAAATATTTTCATTTAACATTCATTCATGGTACAAATACAAGAAATCATGTTCAACATCTCTGCATTGAAAAGATTTTCAAACAAGAATTCTCAGCATGATCCCAACAGACTCGGAAAATTCTGGTGAGAATTATCAGAGTATAAAATCTGTTTAGGGGATAAATACAGAATTTTTAACTTTTCAATAACCTGTCATTTCTTGAATATCATCAAACTTAAAATAGTTATTATTTTTTACAACAAACTTATATATTTTATGAGAAAAAGATATGAAGAATTTTTTAAAATGTAAATCATTATTTGAGATAAAAAAATACAAATTAATGAAAAATTTTTAAAACCATAACCTGATTTTATCAATGATAATATTTTATAATATTTTTGTTTACATTTGATTTATTAGAATTATTGTTTTCTCTGTCTCTCCAGCATAGCAGAAGCAAAAAACAAAAAGACACCACTTGTTATCATGAGGCCAACAAATTTTCCTATATTTTTTTGTATCTGATCCTAAATAAACATCTAACATCAGGTGTTTTAAATTTCATACTTACAGTAAGTTTTGAGTACTGGAGTCTTTACACTGATTTTTGTTGGTTGACTCCGTCCCACTTTGGAGTCAGCATAAATGAAAACTATATATTGAGTATTCTCCCGCAAATTGTTAAATCGGAACTTTGTTTGGTTCTGAAATAGGAAAAAATTATTTTATAAAAACATATACATATTTATATATAATATACAGGTATATACATTCTGGTAATTTTATGGCATTCTTAATGATCAATTAATGGGGAATATATATATATATATATTTATTAAAGACATTTTTATTTATGTTTAACGTTGTTATTTTATAGATACAAGTATTTAAGCAAATGCTCTGTTTAAGATAAACAGTATTAAATAACATTTACCGGCCTGAATGTCCGAGAAATTTTCATAGAAAATATTCGTTCATAGACAGGATTCGAACCTGCATCCTATACGGAACTGTCATATACGCTGACATGCCTTAACCACTCGGCCACCATGAACCTTATGGTAGACAAGGTCGAATTTACTGTTATAAACTACAATCTTCCATGAATCTCGTACATTCATAACTGCTCTGGCGTATCGAATATATATATATATATATTCAGGGTGTGTGTGTGTGCATGTAGATATGTGATGGATGCGTCATTTGGGTAGGTAAGATTGGCAGTTCCTACCCAAAGATTTTAAAAATTAAATATTTCTTATACATTGTAAGTTAATTTAATGCACTAGATTCAATATATAATTCAATAAGTGATTATTATTTTCATCTTAGACATAATTCTTTCATGCCTTCCAACCACTATATATGAAATAATTATTATAATGTCTATTTCATATGCCATGAACACTGCTGCAAGTCATATTTGATAATGGGTGATAAAGGCAGAAGAAATTCTACCTTTACTACAGTGTTCTCATATTTGTTATAGCGTGAAGAGTGTGTGCATGTGTTAAATAAAAAGAAAAGAAACAATTTTAATTGTTTTTTGCCTGATATGAAAAATGTGTAAATTTTTGTACAATTTTCCTACCCCTTGTTATTAGTATTATATTTCTTTTCAAAATATTTAAAATATTTTCTTATTAGGCTTTTGTTAATTTTAAATTAAATATTGGGATTTTTTTTACCAGTGTTTTTTTTAGGGTTGTAAAGGTTTGTAGAAAGCTTTTTGTGGAAGAGTCCAAAGAAAAAAACCTCCAAAATGAGTAAAGCAAAAGTAACTAAATAAAGTGCTCAATACACTAAGTAGAGCAAATGTAACTATGAACCTAAAGAGCCAGGAAAACCTACCTAGGTTTCACCTACGCAGATCATCAGAGTACGCTGGGCAAAGAGGTAAAATTGGAACAGAATATATATAGGCTACAACATAAAAATTAAAAAAAAAAACACAAATAAAACAGTAACTCAACATGGGGGGTGGTAATTCATATTTATTCAATAACAAAAACAATAACAAAAAAAAAAAAGAAAAAGAGAAGAAAACCATTCTAGTAACCAACTCTACTTAGTGTATTGAGCACTTTACTTAGTTACTTTTGCTTTACTCGTTTTGGAGGTTTTTTCCTTTGGACTCTGAACTTGGATTCTGGACGATTGTTTTTGCCTCAATTACATGTTCTTAGTTCTTTTTTTTGTCCCTTATTTTTTTTTGGTTTGTTCACCTAAGGTTTTTCCAGATGAGTATAATTACTTATATTTATATTATTATGGCTCTAGGTTACTCTATTGAGCACTTTACAAAATTAACTATTATGTAGACGTAGGATACTCATTTAAAAACATACCAGTACCTAACCAACATTATATATGATTTAATTTTATTGAATAAAATAGAAACCTTTATTACAAACATGAGATGGAGAGCACATTTCTTCTTGAATTATAAACCAGAATAAGCATCAAACCAGTGAATCGTATGCCCACCCACCCCATATCATAAAAACAGATGAATTCGAGGATTTTGCTTTTTTTTTTATATATTCTAGGCATTGTTGATATTCTTAATAATTTAACTTATCTTTAAAATTTTAAATGGTTAACTTAACTATTTTTATTTTTACTTTTAATTGTTATTTTTTCTTAATATAAACTATCTAAAAATGATTTTTTGTTAATTTTAATATATTTTATTTGTAAGCTTATTTTGGTAATTTTTTTGTTATATAATTAATAATTTCATATTATAAAATTTCTTTTTTTTCAGATTCCCTTAGTATCACTTCATTTTTCTTATAACCACAACTTGGGGTGTTAAGGTTATTATTATTAGAATACACCTTTAAGTGCTGAATCTAGATGCGTCGTCAGTGTTGTTGCTCCCATGTCACTAGAAGTTTCAGGTCTAAATAAACAACAGACTTTTTCGATGGGCGACCCGACCGAATATGATCAGTATTCAGCCCGCACCTAGAACAAAAATTTGCCACTAGCTTTAGGACGTGAATTATATAAGTTGCCCCAGCAAACAACATATATATATTTGGGTTGAATTGTTGTAACTTCTTTCCATTTAAGGTAGACAAAATCTACTTTCCCTTTACTACAACTAGAGCAGTTTGTGTTATCTGCTATGTTATGGGTTGGCTATGTACCAATTTTTTCAACTTTCTTTTTAAATATTAAATTTTAAATCTCTAGTTCCAATACTGAATACAGTCCACCATTTTAGTTGAACAAGTCTAACACATTGATGTTAGTTGAAATAATCTATACTCATGAATTAATTTTGGATTTCTTATGTAATATATATATATATATATATATAGATAATTGATAATATTAGTGGAAAATATACTAATAAAAAGGCTTAAACACTAATATTCCATGGTCATAATTTATTCCATTGGAATTGTATATGTTTCTTTTGTGTGTATTAGTATGTGTTTTTGAACATAGAAATATTTGGTCCTTGCGAAATGAGACAATCGTTATATTCATCTTCATATATTTATATTTGATTTATAACCTGTAGTCTATACTAATTTTCCCAATTACAAAGCGGCCCTTTAAGTAAACACAATTTTATTTTCCTTCGTCCCATCTCTCTCCCCCACCTTTTTTTTTTTTTTTTTACCCCTTCCTATCCGAATTGTCTGTGGTGTGTATATGTCACCACGAAATGTATCTTTATGTATTAGACATCCGTCGACTTTCTTTCTCTCCTCTTTTTAAATCCACCCCACCCACATCTCCAAAAATTCTCTCTGTTAAGGTTTCATGTCCTCCTCCTCATACTTACACTTTCTCTAAATTCTGTTTTGATTTCGAGTAATTTTTTTTTCTGTTTTCATTTTGAATTTGTAGGTCTGATGATTTGGATCGTATTTACGATTCCAATGGAATAAATTATGACCATGGAATATTAGTGTTTAAGCCTTTTTATTATATATATATATATATATATATATATATATATATATATATACTAGCAGCATGGCCCGGCATTGCCCATGCTTGATTCAAAAATCGTACGACTCATACAGCAATCGCTATCAATTGACTTAAAATATTTTTGCCCTTCCTTACCTTTAAAGGAGTGCCCTTTGCCGTGCTGATGTTGCTACATACTTTACTTCTTGCCTATCTCACACTACAAATTTTTTCTAAGCTCTATACTAAACATTAAATCTGTTACGAAAAAAGAACTAAACAAAATGAACATAAAACGATCAGCTTTAAAAAAGGATTCGTAACTGGAAAAAACGAATGAAAAAAGAATGTTAACAACAAATACATTTTCACACCCAACCCAGTTCTGCGGAATCAGAATCAACGTTGAGTTTAAGCAAGTGAATGAGCCAATTGGAGTGCCATGCAGATTAAAATTTTTCCCACTTGTGACGAATGCAGCTATCAATTTTTTTTGCATGTTAGCATGCTAGTTAACATTCATGTCAGTCAGCTGTTGGCTCTCACACTGGCCAATAGAATCTTCCTGCCTATTCGTTGCAGCCAGCTATAGGCTCTCACTCTGGCCAGTACAAAATGGCTGCAAACTACATGAAAACTGCCGTAGAAGCATGAAAAAATCGATTATTTCCACTATCGATGGGAGTTGGGAAATGCAAAGTCAGTCCTGGCCTTCCCGCTAACTTGGAGCATGTGCATGTAAATTTTGGTGCAAATCCATCAAAAATTGCGGCTGTGCATTCGTTACACACACACACACACACACACACACACACACACATCCTGCCTTTTATAGATATATATATATATATATATATATATATATATGAGAGAGAAATATATAGTATATATAGTTAAATACTGAAATAACCACTTTGATATTTCAGCTACAAATCCAAGAGTATACATGAAACCCAAGAATTTTAGAATGGATTTTTTATTAATCCCACAGATTTTTATCACTTTAAATATTATTTTTAGTGGATAGTTGTATTTGAGCATTTATTTATTAAACAGTACACTGCATTCCAAATTATTATCGAGATAACTTTCAAAAACCATCCAATCAATTCACACAAAATTTTCACACAATGTTGGCAACACAGACCTGCACAATCACTGAAATTTTCGTACTGATCTACACAATGTAAACAAACTGGCGCCACCTCAGAACTCTCAAAAAATAAATCTAAGCTGTAAATTTCTAAAATGATAGGGTGGTGTCATCAAACAGTGAAAAAGTTCACCGCTGACCCTACACAAGTACGCAAAAGGGCAGATAAAGGCAAGCCGAGGGTTATTTCACGTTGTCTCATGTCACGACTTAAACGAGAGGCCACGAATAACCCTGGACTTACCAGTCAAGAGCTTTTCAGTCACATTGGGGATCCTACTGTGTCTAAAAGTACTTGGTGTTGGTATCTGAGGGAAATAGCAACAACAGTCAAACCTGTATCAAAGCCTACGTTGACAAGAAATCACATTCAAAATTGATTGAAATGGGCTGAGGACAATATAAAGATTGACTTCTCTAAAGTTTTGTTCATAGATGAAACTCGAGCAACATTGATGGGCCAGATAGATGGTGCAAAGGCTGGGTAATGAACGGACAGAATTGCCATCAGCATTTGAGATGCCAACAAAGCGGTGGATGCATAATGATCTAGGGTGGTATCATTGGAAAAACATTAGTGGGCCCATGGAGAGTACCAGATTGCATCAAAATGAATGCTGATGCATGCACAGCATTTATGAAGGAGCATCTTGAACTGTGGATGAAAAGGCAAAGAGTTGCCTTCAGAAGGGCCATTGTTTTTATGCAAGATAATGCTCCCTCACATGCTGCTCACAAGACTACTGAATATTTAAAACAGGCTTTGATGGACCTCGAAAAATGAACAATCGAAAAGCTTTGGAGCATCATGAAACGAAGACTGTACGCCAACGGGCGACAATTCAGGAGCAATGCTGAGTTGTGGGAAGCAATTCTTGATATATCTCGTGGCATTACAGCAGATGACATCCTACAATTAACAAATTCTATGGATCGTCAACTTCTTCAAGTAATTTCAAAACAGGGAAAGCACATTCCCTTTAATTTGTTTAAAACTGTGCTTTGTTTGTATCTGTTATTATTTGTTTGATTATCTTATTTATTAGCTTCTTTTGATCATAAACATTCACGTGCAACATTAATAAACGTTTCGTTTGCTCAATTCTGGGAATTTTACTAAACCTTTCTAATAATTTGGCACGTTCAAATCACCGTGCTGATAACAAATATGGCGCCAGTTTGTTTACATTGCGCAGATCAGTACAAAAATTTCTGTGATTGCGCAGGTTAGTGTTGCCAACATTGTGTGAAAATTTTGTGTAAATTGATTGGACGGTTTTTGAAATATTAGAAAAAAGTTATCTCGATAATAATTTGGCACGCAATGTATATCTATTTTTTTTCTACCAGTCTGAATGTTTGAGAAATCTTATCAAAGAAAAACTTGTGCTCTCTGGCAGGAATTGAACATGCACCACTCTGAGCAGAGGGAGCTACCATTTAGCTTGGCATGCCTTACCAATATGGCCACAAGGTACAGTCGGTCAGATGAGGCCAAATTTTGTGATTTCAAGCAAAATTCCTCCTGTCATAGATCGTTTTCATATCTGCATACTTTCATATGCAAAATTAAACAAAGAGAATAATGATTTCATGAAAATAATCAAAGATGCCCTCATCCTATCCAACCAGATGGTGAGCTTGAATGTGGTGAGTTTGTTCACCAAGGTGCCGATAGAGGAGGCACTCTCAGTAGTCAGAGACAGATTGGCCTCTGATTCATCCCTAGGAGAACAAACCAGTATTCCAATAGATAATCTGATGGAGATGTTGATTTTCTGTACACAAAAAACACATTTAGGAATGGGATCACACATATATCGACAGTATGAGGGCTTAACAATGGGATCGCCATTATCACCAGCAATGGCAAAGATAAACATGGAATACTTTGACGAAATGTCATTAGAATCTATATCTCTAAGGCCATCTCTATGGTTAAGATATATAGATGACACCTTCATACTATGGTCACACCAAGAAGATATCCAGGTTCTACTGGACTGTGTGAACTCAATAAGACCTTTGATACAGTTCACAATGGAGAAAGTGAGTAACAATACACTCCCATTCCTGGATGTTCTAATATCTTGAACAGAGCATGGATTCAAGACATCTGTATACTGCAAACTGACATTCATTGGACAGTACTTCAATTTCAACTCCCACCATCCATACAGCATAAAGAAAGGGATCATTCGCTGCTTACAGCAAATGTCATAAGTGGTGACCCAGAGACATTAGATAAAGAATTGGTCAGTATAAGCAGTACCCTACAATGTAACAACTACACTGGGTACATGGCAGCAGCCCCAATAAACTGGGATAGGTGGGTACAAGAGGAGGACAACAACACTCAGAAAACAGTCTGCCTGCCTTATGTGAAGGGGTTATACAAAGGATCTGCAGACAATATAACATCAGGCCAACCTTCAAAAGCTGTACGACACTTCACAGATACCTCTTCCAAGTAAGACCCCCCATATAGGAGAACATGACTGTGTGTATGCCATACCATGCAGCTGTGGAAAGAAATATAAAGGGGAGACAGGCCACCCCTTTATGGTAAGGCTTCAAGAACACCAAAAAACTGTAACACAAGTGGAAAAATCAGGTGTGGCTGACCACATATGGATAGAAAAGGGAAATTACCACCCTCTTTAGGATCAGGTTGAAATCATAGACAAAGAACATCATTGGAAAATTCGTAAACATAAGGAATCACCACATATGCTAGGCCACAAAAATCTCCTGAGCTGACCAAGCATAGAAATGAATACAATATAGGAACCAGTAATAAGGAGTGCCAGAGAAAAGCAATGATAACAGCAAAAATTGCAATATGAACACTGGTAAAAAATGATTGCTGAAGACATACACAGATGTCCACAAGGACACATGGCACAGTGGATAAAGGCGTTAGTTAGATCTAGTTACAAGACCCAACGAATGTGAGTTCAATACCTGGTTAAGGTGGTGGAGAACTTGGAGAGTGGAATTAACAGGAGATAACTGATAACTGACATCCATCAGACATGGCATGTGGAACTAGAACAGTCTATTCCAACCACCTGAAGAAGGCTCGAGCATACAATGGCCAAAACGTTATGATAAATATGGTAGTCTGAACAATGTAAATAGTGTACATAATACCTCATCTCAGAAATATACACAGATACTACAAAGAGAATTTTAGAAATATTTTTTTTTCATCTGACAGATTATTATAACTTTAAATGTTATTTTTTATTGCATAATTATATTTGAGTAGGTGCTCTATTTGTGAACCCCTAAATATATAAACACACACACACATTTATATCTATCTTAGATCACTGAATATTTATTAAAAAGTGAAGACAATGGGAAATAATAAAAGTCAGTGCCTGGGCAGTGTATAATTATTCCTAGTCTGTCATGCCCATTTTTATCTTTTTTTTAAGTGAGCTCACTGCATTACTTTTGATAAATTTAACAGTCTTATTTTTTTTCTTCAAAAAAAGGAACATTTGCTGTTTTTTTTTTATATTTTTTATGAATTTGTTTTGAACTGCAATAATAAGTAATGTGTTTCCCTTTTCAGGTATCCTCTGGTAAACCATATCTATGTTTTTTTTTGGGTGATAATTTCTTAATTTCCATTTTTAAAATTTCAGGAGATTTTTTTTCTTTCCCTATTTTCCTTTCTTTGTTTAACTTGTTCTCTATTCCTTCATTTTTTATTTTAATATCATAAGTATTTGTCATGGTTTCTTGGTCTATCCTTCATACTAATGTATTATTATAAACAACAAACAGTATTTAAAGCAACAACAACATAAGTATTATCAATAAATAACCAATTTCTGCATTCATCTTCACTTACAGCAGGCATGGTTGCATTCACAACAACCTCTGTGCAGTTAGAGTTGAGTCCCAACACAATGGGAGGTTCCTTGTCAGCAACATTATCGCCCACCATAACCAAATGTACCAAATAACGAATGATTGGGTAATATGAAACTGGCCGTTTCCATAAGACTTCTATGCTAATGCCATTATTAGTGTGAAGCAGGTAGGTCGGCTTAGCAGGGCGCCCTGGTGGTAATGGCACTGAAACAGATAATTAAATTTTTTAAACCATACATCTTATCAAAACAATGGGAGATGACTTTAAAAAACACAAAGCAAATTTGGGTTTGAAGTGAAAGTAGTAAAATAAATACCACTGTTTCTTGCAAAAATGTCACCGAATGTTAACAACATGATCTTCAGCTGTCCAAATGTGGTTCTTTTTATTTCAGCAAATACTTATATATACAATAGATATTGAAGAATTGGCTATTTTTATTGTCTGGGAATCACAAACAGCAGAAATGAACAAGTTTACAGTTGAACATAAAATATTATTGACATTTTTCTGTTAGGAATATGTGAGACTAAAAATGTAATTATGCATTTATTTACTTCTAAACATTTCAGAGAGAGAGAGAGAGAGAGAGAGAGAGAGAGTGTGTGTGTGTGTGTCCACAGCATTAAGAAATGTTGAGTAATATTCTGTTATAAAGATATAAATGTCTATCTGAGCTACTGATGATAAGCCTACAATGTTGGAGACTACATTTCATATTGCAAGCTTGCATGATATTCCAGAATTTTCAAAATAAAATTTGGTAGATAATTTGAAATATATATTTTAGATTAAAAAAATTAACTTAAATCTTATATTTATGAATTATCTGGAAAGAAATATTTTAGCTGAAAATTTTGAAGCTGATTAACCCTAAGAAAAACTCTTAAGAGGCTTGAAAAAAGAAATATTGAAGTATAATGTACTTACCTCCAATTGGACATTCAATCTCTACAGAGCCCTTAACAACTATATCTTCACAAGGGGGTGTTGTGAAGTTGGTGCTCACCAGGGCGCCTTGCTGACCGTCCAGATTAACTGCTGAAACATCCACCTGGTACTGACAATCATAAATCAGGTGGTATAATTCAAAATTAGTATTCTGAAGAAAAAGAGAAATTTTAGAAATAAGACAGATGATAAGATTTGTGATTTTGATATGATCAGCAAAACAAAAAAAGAAATTTTAAAAAAGACAGATGATTTAGATTTTGATATGATCAGCAAAACAAAAAAAGAGAAATTTTAGAAATAAGACAGATGATAAGACTTGTGATTTTGATATGATCAGCAAAACAAAAAAAGAGAAATTTTAGAAATAAGACAGATGATAAGACTTGTGATTTTGATATGATCAGCAAAACAAAAAAAAAGAGAAATTTTAGATGATAAGACTTTGTGATTTTGATATGAGCAAAACAAAAAAGAGAAATTTTAGAAATAAGACAGATGATAAGACTTGTGATTTTGATATGATCAGCAAAACAAAAAATTAGCAATAGAACTTCAAGAGTGATGGATAGAAATTATAAATAACAATCACTCAAGTTACTTTTAACAACATTTAACATCAGTGAGTAAAAAAACAAAGATTCGCTAAAAATGAGCATACATGATGAAAAAATGCCCCAAACTTAATAAAAACAAAGTTTAATCATCAAAATCTTTGTTTTTATTAAGAGGAAAGAAAGAACAAAGGTTTTTTTTATTATGAAATTATTTTTTTAATCCTTCTTAGAACTTTATACACCAAAGTAATTTGTTTATTGGAAATATTAAATTTAATCTCTTAGCTTGGAATTAAAATTAAAATAAAAGCTTCAAACGATTTTTCTTTTTTAAAATGCATTTTAAACCTTTCATATTGCTTTTTTGGAGGTGCCTAAATAATAGTATTTTTCAAAAATGTAACTTTTTGGATGGTTTGAAATATAATATTTGTGGCATAATAAACTTCTTTTTGTTAGTCATATTAAGAATAAAAAATAATACATAATATTAATAAATATTATATAAATAAAAAAAAATAGATGAAAAACTGTGTGACTATATCAACCCAGGTTTAATTCAAGTCTTTAACAGTCTCAAGGAAATCTGTTGCAAAAAGTAAAAAGTTGAAAATGTGTTTCAAAAATCAATGCTCAAGAAGAAAATTTCTAATATAGTCAATATTTCTAATATATATCAATATAGTTTCACCTTTATATATATAAAATACACTCAAATTTGCATGTTATCATGTGTTAGTGCCATCTTTGCCTGAAATGTACAATTACATACAATCAAATAAGTTTATATTCTGACAAAGATAGAAATTCAAAGCAGAATACTTATAATGCATCATCCAATAAATATTAAACAAAGTTTTACTGACCCGTGAGAAAGCTTCTTGTTTTTCATCCATTGTCAGAAGCTTCCAGTTTTTACTGTGTTTTTGACAGTTGTCTGTACTTTGCCAATAAATCAAATATTTACTAATTTTGTGGCCTTTGCCTGGAGCTGGAAAAACAAAAAAAACATTACCTGTCTTTTAATCCTAATTTGTAATCATTAAAGTTTCTTTAAAGAGTTATTTTTGTGTATATTGAAGTATTTATATAAATGAACATTTAGATGAACTACAAGTTTATACTGCATAACAAAGAAAGAATAAATAACAAATAGTAATGAAAACAGAACAGATCATAAGTGAATTAAGTTGATTATGTATTAAAGCAGAATAATAAAGCATCAAGAAACAATGTTAATTTGAAATAAAAACCTCAGAAAGAAACAACTAAAAAACAAAGTTAATTAAATCATAAACGAATCTTTTTGGGAATTAACAAATAAATTATTTCATGAGAAAAAATAAATAATGAATAATTTCCAAAAATAAATGAATATGAAACTTAAAAATATTAAAGAATTTTAAAAATAGGATTCATGATTTATATGTGATTAATTTACAAATTGTAAACAATGAATAAAAATAAAATGGATAAGTATATAAAATAAATACAATTTTGAATACAAAATATTGATTAATTATAAATGATTCCTGCAATGGTATTTATAGAGAAAATTTGAAACAGTGTAAATGACCAAAGTGTATATAAGAACTTAAAAACAGAATGAAAAATAAAATAAAATTTCATAATGAATGAATTAAAAGTCAGTGGAATTTATTCTTATAAAACAGGATAATTTATGAATTCTAAATTTTCACTGCAATATTAATTCTAATTCTTTCATAAATGATATTGAAATGGTATTTTTAAGAAAGGGAATAAACAAACAATATATGTGATTTTCCTGATGGAGTAGTCAGTAAGGAGCATAGGACAAACTAGTTAAATGTTTACGAATGAAATTGACAATAAAATATTTCATGGAATGTGTCTGATTATAGAATTACTTGTGAAGATATATGAAATTATAAACTAAAAGTAAAGATAAAAAGCCGGATAAGAAATGAATTACAAAAATGGACAAGTAATGATTGGATCCTAAAACTTTATGAACTTATTCTTTGTAATATTTAGAGATCAAAACCTATTTTTTTTTATTATTTTACACTGATTCCAATAACAGGCCATACTGAATATTAATTTGCTTATTTCATTTTTAATTTTGATAGCAACAATTATTGAAAAAGAAAGAAAAATGGATTCCATTCCTTACCTATATTCCAGTATACTTGTGCTTTTAGATTTCCTTTATGGAAGTAGGGTGTTCCTACTGTCAAATTTTGAACTTTAATATTGTGCTGACTCCGAATATGAAGGGCATCCACTGCTTTTGGTTTAGGACCAGGAAACGAAAAAGAACCAAAGATGAAAGTCAGACAAGTCATAATATTTGTACGTGTGTGTGTGTGAGAGAGAGTGTGTATATATACAGAAAGGGGTGCTAAAATGTTTTCAGCCTGACCAAGATGATCTCAAATTCCTGATATTTGCTCATTTGGTTAGATTTTGTGATTTGGGTTAGGCTGAGAACTTTTCAGTACTACTTGAATTTCATTTTTGATAAAAGCCAATTGAATATTAGCCAATATAAAAAGCTAATATTAGAAATTTAGGCTTTCACTAATAAAGATAACTTTCAGTAATTTCATATATTTTCAGTTTATTGTCTTTGTCATTGTTATTTTCAGTATATTTTAGTTGATATATTCTTTGAGATTTTTCAATTGAGAACATAAGAAGTGGAGAAGGAAAAATATGAAGTAATTTCTGGAAAATAGATGCAGTAGACAAAAATGAATGCAACAAATAAATAAAAGTTTAAGCATCTTTATTATTTTTAACTCATGTATCTCCTAATAAACCACTTTAGGCTATTATGCAGTTTTGTTGATGCGTTTTCCCATTTTAAATGGGTGAAATTAGATAAAATATCATAACAGAACTCAGATAAATAATATTTTATGTTTATATAACATTGATAAAGCACAGCAGGAGGCGAAGGAGGACTGAACTCACTAGTAATGTCTCATGGGACTAAGTGCTCTATAGCAAGTATCCAAATACATACCATAATATTTATATACTTACGATCTGTGACCATGTGCATTGATTCTTTAGTGCTTCTGTAGCGTTTCTTTCCAACTTGTATTATTGCTTGTATCTATGAAACAAGAGACAAATGGTTTTGTGATTTGAAAAGAAATAACTTCATTCTGAAAGAATTAGGTAATCTTTTAAAAACAGTTGGACATAATTCTTAAATTAGACTAGAATTAAATTTTACTGTATCAGTTCATTAGTTTTGTTTTGATTACATTTTGAAAAATATAATATAAGTATCTTAAGTTTTTCTCATTTCGAATATACAGGGTTATTCAAAAAGAATGAACTGATTTCATGACACATTGCTTCAGTTCTCAAGCATTGTCATGGAATAAGTCAGTGACCATTTGAAAGAGGAGTTTTCTAAGTTTGGAATGGCTGTCACAGGGGGCGCTGTAGTTGTGTTGTCTCTTTGGCAACATTCAATTGTTTGTTTACACCTGGAATGGCAAGTCCTCAGCAAAAGGCATTTTGTGTTCTTGATTTTGCGAAAACAAATATGGTTGTTATGGTGCAGTGTGATTTTTGAAGGCAATTTAACATTAATCTGCCCTCTCCTAAGAACATTCAATGGTGGTTTAAACAGTTTCAAGAGAGTGGGTGTCTGTGTAAAGGAGAAAGTCCAGGATGAGGAACAGAGGAACAAGTGGTGTGCTCTGTTTGAGGGGAGTCCCTGGAAGTTCACAAATCAAGCTTGTATTTTCGGCATTAAGCAGAAAAATTACGTAGGGTAATATGATTGAAGCAAGGACAACAAAGGCAAGGATTTCAAAATCTAAGCCAAATTTTATTTAATAATCTGGCAAAAGTATGTACAGGAAATTTGGAGTTGTTCAGATGTGAAATCGGAGAGTGCCAGTTGAAGGCTCGTTTGTTTTGGTTCAGGGTGGCAGCTCAGAAGCAGGCAGATGGAAAATGCTGTATCCGAGGTCCAGATTGATCCTTGGATGTTCACCTGTAAGAGGACTGCATTGGCATTCACGAAGAGAGATGATTGTAGTAGGCAGTGTCGAGGTAACCTGTTCGTCCTTAAGAGGGCAGTTGTATATGAATGGTAGTCCTTAGAAGGAGTATCGCATATGAAGGTGATTTGGTAGTCCTTATAAGGATTATCGCATATCAAGGTTGTTTAGTAGTACTTAGAAGGACTATTGCATATGAATGTGGTTTGCGCTGCTGCTGCTGCTGAGTTTGGCTACTAGACTGGGAGCGACTGGCTTCACTGGTGGAGACGGCAGCTGCTGCTGCTTGGTTTCGCTTCTTCAGTGGTCAGCGATGAGGGTCGGCCAGGTGAAGGTGAGAGGGGGAGCACATCGCTCTACCCCAGAGCCATCTTATTTGGTGGAAGAAATCAGCTGTGTTTATTTCGGCCGTGGTTAGCATCGTTGCCTGGTTAACAATATCTTTTGGTTGTCGACTAAAAATTGACTTTCACATTTTGAATGTACACATGGGTTTCATTTCAACATCATGTGTATATAAATTAGTTTTTGGTCATTATTTTTAGTTGTGCATGTTTATATTTCATTTTATTTTGCTTTTTTGTGTTTCAATTTCTGAAAACGCTGAGTCACCGGAAATTAATGGCATTCGGGCTGTTTTCTGTGGTGACGTTTTCAGACGTTTGAGTAGCCAGCAGTAACTTCTGGCCAGGTGTGATAAGCTAGCCATGAGCTTGCGATCTCTCAATCCACTATCTGGCATGTGCTAAGAAGATATCTATGTGTGATTTTTTTTTGTGGGAATACATAAAAGATCTCATTTATGTCCCACTGCTATGCATTAACCTCAATGACCTTAAACATTGAATAACAACAGCGATCAACTCAGTGGATCATGATATGCTGATATGCATCTCTTATCACATTGATGTTGCCTGTGTTGCAGGTGGTGGCCACATTGGATATTTGTAAAGCAGGAAATAAAAGTTGATTGTGAGTAAAATACTTGTGATTTGGCTGGGGTTTTCTATTGCTTTTCTTTATTAAAACATTGTGTAATGAAATCAGTTCATTCTCTTTTAATAACCCTGTACTATATAAACCTATATACCTCTTGACAATAAAAAAATATGTAATAAAACACTTTTGTTTTAAGAAACAAATTTGCATGAAATAAATAATAAATTAATACAAAACATACCCACTTTTCATATAGAATCCTACAAATTTACAAATTTTGTTAAATTCCTTTTCTTTTATAATTAAAAAAATAAAGAAGGATTTAGTCAACAAACTAGAATTTAAGGACTGCAAATATTAACTGATATTTGTTGCTTTGTTTTATTTTCTAACCAAACCCACTTTTCATAAGAAATAGTTTAAAAAGTGATTATAGAATTTGTGTTCCATGTTAATCCTCTTTGTCTCATACAGAAGTTTAATAAGACCAGTTTTTCTTAAACTTAAAACAGATAAATTGAAAAAACAAACATATTATTTAAGAATATTATTCAATTTGTCTATCCATTAAAAAGACAAAATGATGGATCATCAAAACAAATATGAAATAACATTTCTTGTAAATTTAATTTTTATGTTGGATCAGAAAGTGAAAAAGAACATGTTTTCTAATTATTCATCTAATTTGCTCTTAAAGCATTTTTTTATTTAAAGTTTTCAATTTGATTGAGAATTTAATAAATATTAGAAGATTTTTTTCTATTTATTCTTTCATGTGCCTTCTTGGCCTCAAGTTTTCAACTGATTTCAAATGGAACAACAACATTTCCCTGCATATACTGCTAGGAAAGTCAGTATATTGTGTTGAGCCAGAAGACTTTTCTCATCAGAGTCCATCTTGCACATCTACAAATCTACCATTTGTCCGTGCATTGAATACTGTTGCTATATCTAGTCTGGCACTCCTGCTGTTCATCTTGAGGTTCTTGACAAAAACCAGAGAAGGATCTGCAATGTAACTGATCCTGACTAGGCATCTCGACTTCAGTCTCTTTCTCACAGATGTGATTTGGCTTCCCTCTGTCTTTTCTACAAATATTTTCATGACAACTGCTTTGACAAACTTTTTCCCTGGTGGCCTGACTACATGAATTTACGTGTGCTACTAGATTGGCATCTAGGTCTCACCTTTTTACTGTTGAAATAGTTAAATGTAACTGTCACGTCTATTCCAACAGTTTCTTTTCTTGTACTTCCTGACAGTGGAACTCCCTTCCACTTACTTGCTTCCCTGATAACTGCAATCTTCAAAAATTTAAATGTCATGTCAATTACCATCTTCTATGGTTTTGAACACCATTCATCTTTTATCTTTCCTCAATCCTCCCAATACTCAATCTTTTCTCTCACTTTCACTCTCTGTAACCCCTTGTGTACTAATAGCACTCCTGCCTTGCTTGGGATGAAATGATTAAAATAAAAAAATGTTTAGTTTTCTTGTACAATAAAGTGTTTTCATAATTCAACAACTCTTAGTCTTCAGGTCTGAAACACCCACAATGCAAAACAAACACTAGTAGATTATCTCAAACTACACACTGGAACAAACCTTTCAAAATGAAACAGTCCTGGCTAAAATATGGTAAGTATTAAAAAAGTCTCTGAGTGAGTGATGCCTGAGGGTTTTGGCAAAGATCATGCTTCTTTGAGCATTGTGGTCTTGCAATACAGAATCACACGCAAAGAAATGTACCAAATAACAGAAACCGCCACACTTGAGGACTACCAACAGTAGCAACAACTAAAATGGATAGCACATGTAACTTGAAGAGAAAATAATGACATAATCAAGAGGTTGATGTTCCACATTACTTAAAATGAAAAGGTTATGGAAGAAACACTCATCAATAATGGAAAGTGTTATAAAATCTATTGAACTTAAACCTATTTCTCTGAATAATTATTTTAAGAGAAAGATTTTAAAAATTTCATTTGAAATCAGTACTGGCTGCTAAGTCAATGAATGCCAAATGCTTCCTTGTAAGGAAACGATTAATATTATCATTACCATATATAACTAAGATACAAATAGTGATATACTACATAGAAACAAAATCATGAAACAATAACCCTACAAAATATGAAAGCAATACTGAATTAATAATTTAGTTACCTGTACTAAATATTGTGTACCAGGTTGTAAATCTTTCAGAGTCAAACTATGTCGATCCTGTAAAAGAAAGAAGTTTCTTTTGATACACAAAATTTGGAAATACAAGAGAATTTTTTATAGGGCAATAGCTTAGTGGATTAAAGCATTGTTTTGTGGATTTGGTGACAGTAATTGTAAGTTCAATTCCAGGGCTGGGTGATGCAGATTTAAACACAGTGTAAATAGGGCAAAATGAGCAGTACTAAATAAGGAAAGGTTATATAAAGGTTTCAGTTCAAAATTGAAGGTTACTCAGATCAAAAAACACCTGAACATGTCCAGAGGGCACAATGCCCAAAACATTATGATGATAATAACAAGAAAAATGTGACAATAGTCTCAATGCAAATAATCATAACTCCTCAGGCCAGAAAGTTTTTCAAAAACTCAAAGAAAGATTAGAATATTTTTGGTTGAAAATACATTTCTTTTTGTTGTTCATTTTCATTAAGATTAAGACAATCTATATACAATTAAATGAAGATTCCTATGTGATTAGCTTGTGATATTAAAAAATGAAGAAACATTTACATGAAATAATAGCTGCAAATGCTTTATTGCTAAAAATTTTTAAATTAAAAAAATTTTGCTAATTCAAAATAAAAAAAACTTTGTTAAATCTGTAGACATATTTATTGTACTAAAATTAAAATATACAGTAATTTGACCTTGGGCAAAAAAAGTTTGTAAGAAGAACTTTTTGCTTATTTTAATAGACTTACAAGAGCATTTTTCTGACCTCATTTATTGTACTACTTTTTCTTCTGTATCTTTTTCTGGTTCCTAAATCTACTAAAATACTCTGTACATATTTTGCACATGCTCTGTTTATATATATATATACACACACACACACACACAGTATAAAAAATGATACTTAAGTTTCACTGTTTTCGAATATATATATATATATATATATATATATATATATATACATACACCCAAAGTATAAAAAAATGATACTTAAATTTCACTGTTTTCCAACAAAAAAAGAATAAAATTCTATGTTTTCAAATCTGATAGAGATGATTACGACAAACGTCTTAAAACATTTGGATATTCTACATTCTTTTAAATAGGTGTTCTATCAAAAGGAGATTTGAATCAACAAAGACGGAGTTCTGCAGAAGGATGATGAGAATATCATGTAACACAGTAAATCACAGATACACCTTGCCTTCTAAAATGTCGGCAAAGTATAACTTAGCAGTAAAATTTCATTAAAAACAAAGAACAGTGTGTTGAGAATTAGTATTTAATATCATTCTTCATATATGACAGTGAGGATTATGGCTGCATCACATATAAAACATCGGTTCCCATATGATGACAGAAGTCAGACAACATCGAGCCTAGCTACAGCCTAGATGAGTAATCACTTGGAAATATCAGAAGCTATAAGATTGGATGTGCAGATGGTGCAATGTAATATAGCTCTGAATTGTTAATCAGAGAGCCCAGTTCTAACTGTCGTTGTGTTGTTTTTATTCACTTATGCACAATGATTCACTGATGATTTTTATTCACTTATGCACGTTTCACTGATTCATTGGTAAAACATATGAAAATTCAAAACAGATTTTTTCAAATTTTTATATATTTACTATTTCATTAGATTCTCTCTCTCTTCCTCTCACTCACACACACAAACATTATGATTTTCAGGTGTGACTTTTGCATCTAATAATAGATTTGAATAAATTGATACAACTAGGTAAAGAGATACTCTTGACTTGTGACCTGGCAAAACCTTCATTTCACACCTTCATGCATGCACATTAGATAACAGTCAATAAAAATAATCACATCATATAAAATAATCATTTTTCTTATGTGTCATTATTACTTCTCAAGCATGTTTCTTCTTGATGTCAGACAGGTCAGTTTCAATCAAATTCAGTTTTTCAAGATGCAAAAGACAATGACACAATTCCTTTTTCTAAATGCCAGTTTATATTTAATTTTGTGAGAATATTCTTATGAATTACTAATTTAAAATTAGATGCATAACAACAACTTTAATCATCTTCACAATATCTTTTATTATTCAAGAGTAGATCAATAAATACATGACATAATTGTTACTAAAATTTTTATCTGAAATTTTCGATGTATAATGTTCAACTCATATGATTAATATAGAAGTGCTGAGTAAGGTGCATTTTCAAGGAAGAAGGTTACATTACAAAATAAATATTTGTTTAAAAAAAGTGAATTTCTCTCATTATTAGGTTATGTACTTATTCATAAATCTACCTAATCATTATATTGAGAATTTAATTTGAAAGCTCAAATTTGTACCTACCCCATGGACAGTCTTTTGATGCTCTTCCAAATTGGAATATTCTGGAGAAGTTTTACTATAAAAAATCTGAAAGAGGAAAAAATAAATACTTTTGTGGTACATAGTTACATTGAATTCAAAAATATTTGTTGAATATTTGCTTTTGCTTCAAAAACGAAAAATTATATTGCAAGAAAATGGATATAAATAAAAGATAAATGAGTGATCTCAAACCTTCCAGAACACAAGTGGATGGATAGAGGGGTGGGACCTCAGCCATTATCTATATAAGCAGAGAGAAGCAGGAAGTCAAGGAGAAAGGGGTTCAGCAGCTAATGAATGAGTAGCTGCCCAGTGGTTAGTGGTAGTTAAGAAGATAGTGGTTCAGCCGAAAGAAAGATAGCTGGCTAAATGAGAATTTTTATTGTTTTTATTTACCAACCAGAGAGTCTTAAAAATCAATTGTTGTTATTTTTTGTTGAATACAATCATGGCCAAGTGAACAAATCTGTGAGCATAGCAAAGTTTGGTGTATATGCAGATATAGTCAATATTGGATGTCATCTGGCTGTGCACTGACAGACAAGCAGAGAATGTTGTCACAATGACAATTATAAGCATTGCTGGGACAGACTACTCAATCTTCAACAGACCCAGCCAAACTAGGATGTATGGTAAGTGTGTGTGTGTGTATATATATATATATATATATATAAGTTTGTTGAATGTCCAATGAAAGTTCTTTGTTAAGGATTTTTTAATCTATTTTTTTATATTTTGGACCTTTTTCTTTATTTCCAGTGCATAAATATAAATTGTCCAATGTTTGAGTACTTTCAGCTTTTATAAACCATTATCCAAAGAGTATTTATTTTTTGTGCTGTTATTTCAAAAATCATATTGTTGCATCCTCATGTGACAGTTTGTGTAATTGTGTTTTTTTGTTGTTTTTATTTATGAAATATATGTAGGATGTTTATTCCTAACTTTGATAACATATTATTGATGTTAGGTTTCTATGCTTAACGCTTCTAGTATTTGCAGTCGTTTTTTTACAGTTTATGTGATGCAGTATTTCCAGATCATTAAGGAGTGCTCCTGAGTGGAGCACACTCTTTTTTTGCTCAAGTATAAGTGTGGGAACTCCTCCATTTTACAGGAGCAAAGGAATGATAGTCCACTCTTTTGCCATTCATAATATAAAATAAAAAACTGAAATTTTAAAATTTGAATGGCTGATATCTGACTGGGGAGATATTTATTTTCTTTTTTTTTTAAATGATTAATAGTGAAATACTTTAAGATGGGGTCAGCATATTTTCTTTCAAAGCTGAAGATTAAAATTTTTGGTAGGCAAATTGCTACAGTCTAAGAAAGTTTAAGCTTTGTCAGTTGGGTTTCAGTTCACCACAATATCTGTATGTGAGTTTGCATCTCTGTGTCAGTTAATTATATATATATGAGTGTTATTTCATTTACAAATAATAAAAGTTTGTGTTTTTTTTATAATTGAAACAACAGAAATGACTGAATCTTAATTCAGCTTTCTTTTTTTATTTTTTAAATTTTTTTAGACTTTCACATTATTTTGATGCCTTCAGCAATTTTAAATATCTGGGTTATTATTAAAGTTGGAACAAGCTTAAAGATAGAGTTTTTTGGTTTGTTTTTTTTACTTAATTGTGGTATCATGTAAGAAAGGTCAGTTTATTTACACTTATTTACTTTTAGTTTTAAAATATTTACTTTTGGAAGCAGACATTTTAGTTTGCATTTGGTTTCAATATTAAAACATGTAATGGTTTAACAATGCAAGTTAACGTGTTTCTTGAGAATCCTTTTTTAGTTTAATTATTTGTTTGTGGTGCTTAATGACTAGATTAACATGATGTTAAAATTAATGACACTTTTTCTGTGAGTTGAAAACCTTTCCAAAATATTTGGAGACACTATTAGAGAGTAATAAAATTATTTTTCAAGCAATAAATAGAAGTGCACTCCTTTTTATGAAAGGAGCAAGGAGGGGAACATGCTTCATTTTGTGTAGGAGTCAGAGCTAGAGCTGCTCCAGAATTTGAGGAGTGCATAAAGGCCTGGGAATTTTTGTATTATTGTTTCTTTCTTCTGTTGGTTGATTTTTTTTTTAATTGGTATCACCTCAAGCAAGACTGTATAGCCACTAGCATTCAAAGGGTTACAGGGTGTGGAGGAATTAGGAAATTTTTGCATATTAAAGTTGGTTGGAAAGCATGGAGCTGGAAAAGAGTTCCACAAACAAGAAGTGTAAGAAAAGAAACTGTCAGTACAGAAGTTATAGCTATATTTAGCTAGCTCAACTGTAAATCGATGAGATCTCACTGCCAGTCTAGTATTGCGCTTAAATTCATACAGTCTAGGTAACATAGGAAAGAGCTCATCTGAATAATTACCATGAAAGTAATTATGAAAAAGTCACATAGAGGCAACCTTACAGTGGTGGGCAAGTGAGTGAAGCCAAGCCGCCAGATCAAGACCAATAATGTTGCTGATTCTTCTTTGGATCTTATCAATGTATAATTTGCAATGATTGTGGTAAATATCTGAAAATTAATTTTCTTTCAACTTAAAAATAACAACCTCTTTATTCTATGAATGCATATCTACATTACAAATTTGATAAGAGAAATTAAATAGTAACTTTGGACAATAAAAAAATGTATCATCATATTAAAAAAATTAACATCCGTTCTCAAAGGGAAGGGAGATAATTCTTTTTTTTTCAAAAACACTCTGCTCTTGAAAAAATTATCAGGCCGAAATAAATCAATACACACGTTTATTAGATTAAATCTAATTGATAATAACTGCTATAATGATAATAATCATAATTTAAGAAACAGTAATCACAATTGGATTGATTGATTGGTTGTTTTTCTATGGCTTATCAACCTTTTGCAGTTCAATTAAATCCAGAAATTATTTTTAGATTGTACGAACTTTTTGGAGATAATAATTTATTGATACATGTCCTACTAATTAACCTAGAGCTGAGGGTTGAAGAGATAGATTCATACCTTTCTCAAGAGTATTTGCTTGTGAGTGAATATAACAAACCCAACTAGGTACTGACGAAACTGAACAATGCTTAACTTTGGTGATGTTGGAGGATTATGAACGTGAACAATTACCTATTAATAAATATCGGGTATGTTTTATCATTTGAACAATGTGCACTGGACAATATATTAAAAGATAACTTTTCAATTTTGGCTTTATAGAAAACTTCAGATAAGATTTAATGTTTTGCTAAGATTTTCATGTTCAAGGGAAACAGAAAGTGAGTATCTAACATTTTGCAGTAACATTTATTGAGAGGCATAACAGCATCTGACTATCCAACAAGATGTATATTTAATGAGTGAAATGAAGCAGAAAATTAACTCATTTTACCAAATGAATCACAAACACCCCCCCACACCTTCAGTATGTATGCATGTTATATCCAACAGACTTCATCCAGGTCAATGTGAAACAATTTACCAGGCACAGACTGACTGGATAAAAATTATATTAATTTCAGTTTTTGTATGTTTTATATGAGACTGAATGATAATTATTGAACATGATTTGCCCTTTGAAATGTCTTGGTGCCAATTCAGAGGGATTTATATCAGCAGAATTGATTTTAACAGATGTGTTTTAATGTACTTTAATGTAGCTGGTGATTGTAGGTCTACATTTTCTTTTCAACTAGAATTCTTTGGTAATGATACTTCTCAATATTATTAAAGTTAAGAAACATTATATTCAGTCATTACCAAATGGGTGATCACTTGAGTGCTGGTGCTGAATGTTGTGCTTGACATTCTTTAGATAAAATTCATATTAAAACACATCCCAAACATTTCATATTTATTCAAGTTGGCAATTCTTTTTGAAGGCTTATTCCATTTAACAATTTCTATCTGAAAATCACAGGCATGAATAATAAAATTAACATAGTTTCATTTGTTCCATCTATGCTGAGTATTGATACTTAAATAAAACTCAATAAAGGTATTGACAAATTCAAATCACATATTACATGTAGAAGAAAATGTATTATTTGTCAGAAAAACTTGGCAATTATACATCTTAAACTTTAACTAAATTGAAAAATGCTTATTTAAATTTTAAAGAAATATGGAAGGATACAAATAAGAAAAATTAAGAGAGAGAGTTATCAGATTAACTTTAATATTGAACATTTTTTAATTAGTAAATCTATTACAAAGATTTAATTTTCTTTTTTAATAAATTCATCACCTTTAATTAACTTGGGTTTATTGATTATTCAAGATAAAATTATGTATTTGTTAATTAAAACATTAACTTTATCTCATGAGTAACTGTTATTTGATCAAGTTCAATCTATCATTTAATTAGTATATTAATGTTTTTGGTTCACAATAAGAAAGTATGAAACATCACATTAAAAAAATAGGACTTTCCAGTCTTTTACTTGCTACTTCAACTTGCTATATTTTATTTGATTTTTTGGAGCATATATATTCAGAAATTGTGAGATATGAAGATATATGCAATTAATTTATTTGAATTTTTATATATGTTTTCTGTTATTAAACATCAAGATTATCATAAACTTAAAAAAAACTCAAGATTATTTTCTGTAAAAGTGATAAATTTTACTTATTATTGACCTGATATACAACAATTTAAAAAGAAATGTATAAGGAAGAAGAAAAAACAAGTCTTTTATGAAAATAAAATTCAGCCAAGATAAAATATTGTTTTGTTAAATTAAAAAGAAATTTTTAGTTTTAATATTGCTAACTTTGATAACCACTTCATTAAAAACATTAAGCATCAGAATTTTATTTTATATTCTTGCAGTTACTTTTAAAGCCAAATGCTGACATCTTCCTGTCATTCATATAATTTCATGATGTCACAGTTTTTAGAGTCAGAAATGATGTTTTACTTACTTTGTATCGTGTTATAGGAAAATCCAATTCAGCAGGTGGGTCCCATTTTATAGTGACCCGCTGGGTATCACCTGCAAATACAGTCTTACCCACTCTTAGATTCCTTGGTGGGTTGGGGTCACGGATTTCTAAAAAGTATGAGAGGAAAAAGAAATACCA